TCATTAGTTAAGAGTCATTGTCTGCAGTGAAGGTAGAGACTTTTAAGCAAAGAAAACATAAGCTGTCTGAAGTATATATAGAAGTTAATCAGTTAACTTATTAATTATTATTCAGTGGTCTAGATGTTACTTTTAGCATCATCATCTTAATTGGGAAAAGGGGAATTTTAACTTATATAGTCCACATTCTTTATACGTTATTTATATTATTAAGACTTTTGCAGCACATCAAATTTGGGGTCTTAATATTACAATATTTTATAATACTATTTTAAATATTTAATATAATACTGTTTAATATTTAATATTTTATTAAAATATGGAAGCTATACTTTAGGATACCTTTTTATATTATATAAAATGTATGTAATATAGATCAAATAAAAAATACAGTGCCCTGTTCAATAATCTGAAATAATTCTCATGGTTAAGTCTTGAGAGTATGACTTTCCTCTTGATATAATATAATTTGAAACATGCTTAGTTAAAGGTATGTTTTATGTTAAGTTGTTTGAGAGGTTTTGTGTTTTTAAGAAAAAGAAAACAAATTCTCATACTACCACTGCATTAGCTCTGTGACCTTGGACAGAGTGCTTCACTTGTCAGTTAAGTTTCTGTTATCTACAAACTGGAGGTGATAGTAGCAATACCTACCTCATAGGGTTGTTAGGAAGATTAAAATGGATAACAGATATAAAGCTCTCTGTCAGAAGCATTTAATAAATTGTTGCTATTGGTGATGATGATGATGGTGATGCTGGTAAACCAAAACAGCAAAATATGGTTCTTCTCTCATTCTGGTAGGCATAAAGTGCTCTTTTCGCTGGTATTGTGGGTGTCACTTCATTTTCTTCCTAGCTTGCTTTGCTTCCTCTGACTCTGTGTCTAACCCTTCGGTTAAAAAAAAAATTTTTTTTGAGCATATCTTCTTCTAACCCTCTGTTACCTTTTGAAAAATCATCAATCTATAGCTTTAATGCTGTCAGCAATCTTTTTCTGTGTGATGTGGGCTCAGTCCTGATTTTTTTTGCCTCACAGTCATGATGTGTAATTAGTGCAACCAAATTGATGCTCTTCTTGTCAGATGTCTATACCATTTGCTACTAGAACTGCCTTTGTCCCTTACATCCCTTAACTGACACAGTAATCATAACTGTCACATAGGAAGAAAGGGCAGGTACATAGAGGTATGTTTTTAAAAATCATTTACGATGTTTCTAGCATTGAAGAAATTGAGGTATAATTTGCATACCATAAAATGCACCCATTTTAAGTGTATTATAGGATGAGTTTTAGTAAATGTACACAGTTATGTGTGTCTTGTGTTTCTTATACATCTTTCTTTAGCATCACCCACAATCCAGTTTTAGAACAAGTCTGTCAGCCCAGAAAGTTCTCTTGTGTCCATTTTCAGGCATTCCCCACCTCTGTTCTCTAACTCAGGACAGCGCTAACCTGTTTTTTCCTCTGTAGTTTTACTTTTTCTAGAAATTTCAAATTAATAGAATTATATAATATGCTATCTTTGTGTCTGGCTTCTTTCGTTTAGCACATGTTTTTAAGTTTCATGTTGTTGCATCCATGAGTAATTCATTCCTTGTTGTTGAGTGGTATTCCATTGCATGATGTACTACATTCTACAAAATCCATTCTCCAAAGATAAACAGTTGAGTTGTTTGCACTTTTCAGCTGTTCTAAACATAACTGCTAGGATCATCCTTACACAACTGCTTGAATGTCATCTGTCCCCAAGAGAAGTGAAAACACACCTTGGTGTGAAATTGTTGGCTTATATGTTGAGAAACTTCCAAACTGTTTTCCAAAATGGCCATACCATTGTGCTTTCCTACCAGCAAGGGATCTCTTTTGAAGGTTCTAGTTTCTTCCTGTCCTTATCAATATTGTATGTTTTATTGCATGTCTAGCATATTTTATTTTGGTTTTAATTTCTGTTTTTCTGGTGACTAATGATGTTTATTATTTTTTTTTTTACTTTCCCATTTTTTTTTTTTTTTTTTTTTTTTTTTTTTTTTTGAGAGGGGGAGAGAGAGAAAATCCTAAGCAGGCTCCACGCCCAAACTCACAACCCTGAGACCATGACCTGAGCCGAAATCAAGAGTCCGATGCTTAACTGGACCAAGACACCCAGGCGCCCCCCCCCCATTGTGTATCTTTTATAATATATATAATATGTTTAAAAATCTTTAAATATTTTGCCCATTTAAAAAAGTTGAATTGTTGTATTATTGAGTTATTGAAGTCCTTTATACATTCTAGATGGACATCCTTATTATTTAGCTCTTTATGTATTTTAAATGCACATGCTTTATCAGGTAATTATTTTGCCAATATTTTCTCCCCATCTGTGGCTTGTGTTTTCATTTTTCAATTATGTCTTTTGAAGAACAGACGTTTTCATTTTAATGGAGTTCAGTTTGTCAGGTATTTTTTTTCCTTTTATGGTCTTTATTTTTATTTTATGCATTTGGTGTAATATCTAAAATTTTTTTTTCTAATCCACAATAATTTCCTCCAAGAATGTTCTACAAGTTTTGTAGTTTAGTTCTTACTTTTAGGTCTATGGTCCTATCCATTTTGAGTTAATTTTTTGTACATGGTAGGTACAAGGTAAAGGTTGAGGTTCTTTTTCCCTCTCCATGCGTATAATAGTTTTTGGCATCATTTATTGAAAAGGCTGTCTTTTTCTCATTAAATTACCTTGTGACCTTTGTTGAATATGAATTGATATAAATGTGTGGGACTGCTTCTGGCCTGTGTTCTCTTCTTTTGTTTATCCTTATGCTGATACCCCACTGTTTTGATTGTAACTTTATAGTAAGATTTGAAATTAGGTAGTTTTTTTCAACTTTTGATGTAGTTTTAAGGTAGCCCTGGTTCAGAAATTTCCCAGTAGTCTCCATGTTAATGTGTCTCTGGAGGGTTATGGGCAGATAAAACCATTAGGACATTCCAGGGAAAATCGGTTCTACTTAGGGGTGTAGGACAGGCCTGAAGCTTCTATTTTTTCATCATTTCACTGAGTTACCTGTCAGAGCCAGCAGCGCTTAGCAGGATCATACTTGGTAGAATAATTGTAACGCCTACTGTGTACCAGGTGCTTTATGTAATCATCTCATTTAATACTTCCAAGGTGCTGCAAACAGGACATTATTATCCTCATTTTATATTTGAGTCCACAATAACACTTCCTAGGTCGCATACCTAAGCTGCTGCTAACAATAGAGTAATATTATCAGCAGCAGTATTTATATGATAAAGCCAGTTCTGAAAACTGGTCTGTCTGATGACTTAACCTTACAAGGTTTTTCCACTGTTTGGTGCTACCTTCTTTTTTGTTTCGTTTCGTTTCGTTTCATTTCCTTTCTTTCCTTTTCTTAAGATTTATTTACTTATTTTAGAGAGAGAGTTCGGGGAGCAGAGTGCATTGGCACTTTCTCCTCATATTATCTTAGCATGTTAGTGAAAACTTACTAATATAGATCAAGCAATAATAGTTTAATATCATCACTCCTACTAATAATCACAACTTTTAGCTCTTGATTGTGGCATAGTGTGATGTCCTTGAGCGAATTAGTTGTTGGTATAGAATTATAATAGGCTTAAGTAGGCCAGCATAATGAATAAATTTACCCCAGTAGAGCCGGAAAGAATTGATGACTCCTATTACATAACAGTTTATTGCACACTACTCACTGACTGCCACTTGAGGAGAATCCATTCGTTTTACTTACTGTGATAACTTCTTATTTGCATACGGATTTTCTTTTGTTTTTCATGAATCATCACTAACTAATACCCTAGCTGCATTTCATTACATTCGATGATCTCCATACCGAATAGGTCCTGGTAAAACTCAAAATGGAATTTTTTCTCTTTCCCTCCCCTTTCGACCTCTTTAGATTAAAGTAGTAAGCATTAATACACAGACAATAGCATAAGCACATACTTGTTTGTATTTGTTACTGTACATCTTAGAAACAAACTTCTTTAGTGCAGTGGAAGTGATTCTTGTGTGGGTCAGAAAAATGCTGCAGGGTCCTTTGGAGTTAAATTCTTTGTTCTCAAAGACCTACGCCCAGAAGAAATTTGGTGAGCAGCTCCCCTCGTGATTGAAAATGTTCATTTCTTCCTTATCTACATTTGCTCTCTCTTTTTTTAAGATTTTTATTTATTTATTTGACAGATAGTGAGAGCAGGAACACAAGCAGGGAGAGTGGGAGAGGGAGAAGCAGGCCTCCTGCTGAGCAGGGAGCCCAATGTGGGGCTCGATCCCAGGACCCTGGGATCGTGACCTGAGCTGAAGGCAGACGCTTAACGACTGAGCCACCCAGGTGCCCTATCTACATTTGCTCTTACAAATTGTTAAGATTGTCGTATATTTTTATATGGCATCATTTTACTCAAGATTTTTTTTTGAGATAAATTATTCAGTCACTTTTGAACTTCTTTATACAATTATGACTTAGATTTTTATTTCAATAGTTTCAAGCCTTTTGATTCCTTGCAGGTAAACTATAAATCACAACAAATTAAGATTGCGATGTGAATTTTATTTATTTGTTTACTCAGCAAACATTTACTATGCACTGTGTTACTGTGTGCTGGGCGCTGGGCTGGTCCTAGGGGGCGCAGTCTGGACATAGGGATCTCAGGTCTCTGCTTCTCAGCTTCCAGTGCTCCTGATGAGACCTAAGCAGCTGCAAGGAAGTGTAGTAAGAATTACGGTGGGAACTCAAAATTTGTAGACTAGACACCTCATCCGTCATTCACAATGAAATGCGGCCTTACATATTTTACGTTTTTTTAACCAAATAGAAGTAATGCAGCAAGTCTACTTCTTGATTTATCATGGCAATTTAATGGCGAGATGTTATTAATGAGTTACTTGTATATTGGTTGTAAAAATCACATCCACTCTAATAAGTCCAAGAGGATTCTCTTTCTTTTTATTCATGTTTGCTTGTTTGTTTGTATTGCAGATTTCTCTTGGATTTGGCTACAAATTTATAGATCTTCTGCACTGTGTACAGGCACAGGTGAGTCAAAATTAAGCCTTTCTGTTGGAATATTTTTATTTTTAAGTAAACTCAAATATTTAAAAATTATTTATAGTGTAGCAAAATAATGTGTAAACAAAAATATAAGTAAGAAAATGTATATTTGTCAGCATTTCTGTTTTATTATAAAAATTCTGTGGGAATGTGTTAGAAATGAATTTGAAGGTAAAGTGATCTTATCTGTTTATCAGTGTTTACTGTGTGTATTTGGGAAGAGTTTACACATACCCATTGGATGAGGTGATTTATAATGTCACAGCCTGGCAAAATGTTTACCTTTTTTATATATAAATACAAGAATAGTTGCTATCGATTTTGGCAGCAAATGGAGGTAAATGTTTTAAATTTAATGAGCAGGCTTTTCTTGTCCAACCAGTCTGAAATAGCTTCTCAGTCACTTCTTAACTCACAGCCCTGATAGATTTTTATCATGATACTTATTATCATGTGATATATTCTTATTTCTTTATAGTCTTCCCTACAAAAATATAAGCTCTGTGAACACTGCGACCATTTTTGTCTTGGTAAAAAACGTTATCCCTGCCTTTTAGGATAGCACCTGGTATATAGGAAAGACTGAATAAATGTTTGTTTAAAGTAATTATTGGATAGTAAATATTAAGAATTTGCTTATATTCAGAGTCATTGAGCTCTGCATCTATAAAGAAAAACTAGAAATAGTTTTTATATTTATTTCTAAATATGAAATTAATTTGTATCAAGTACTTAAAGTCTATGGCTCTTAAATGTTCTGAGAAATTATACCTGTGTTGCATATATTATGTACTAAAGTGTGCTTAATCCGGATAGAATTCAGAGGGTAATGCTTCCAATTCTGTATTTATTTTGTCACTACCCTAGAAGGTTCTTATGATCAAACCTGAAGCAGGTGTGAGAGCTTCTTACCTCCTTACTGGATTATGCTACCATATTGGATATGTTTTTTGATATCTTTGTAGAGAGTGAGAGAATTGAAAATCTCTAAAAACCAAAGAAGTTAAAAATTTCCCATGACCTATCACTGGATACAAAATTTAACTTCCTTACTTAGTTTTCAGTTTCTAGATTGGGGAGATTCTTTGGTCATTTTTCCACCCTCTATATTGATGTTTGAATTCATTATCCTAGAGCTATAGGAGGGATGCTTGGCTGGCTCAGAGCATGCTACTCTTGGTCATGAGTTCAAGCCCCACATTGGGCATTGAGCTTTCTTAAAAAAAATAATAATAGGGGCGCCTGGGTGGCTCGGTCGTTAAGCGTCTGCCTTCGGCTCGGGTCATGATCCCAGGGTCCTGGGATCGAGCCCCGCATCGGGCTCCCTGCTTGGCGGGAAGCCTGCTTCTCCCTCTCCCACTCCCGCTGCTTGTGTTCCCACTCTCACTGTCTCTCTCAAATAAATAAATAAATAAATAAAAATCTTAAAAAAAAAATAATAATAATAATAAAGATAGCTATAGGAATAAGCAGACCACCTATTTCCTTGTGTCCTTGGCAGTTTTCTTTAGGTGTTCCAAGTTACTGGTTGCCATTATTGGTTTCTTGGTTTCTTTGTTTGTTATTGTTTTTGGTATGTTTTGTTTTTTGATCTTTCTTCAGGCATTGGTCTCTTCTGCCACCATGATTTTTATTTATAGAAAGAATTAACTCTGACCTTTAGTGTTTAAGTAAAATTTTATGAATTATTTCTTATTCACATTTAATTTTATAAGTGCAACTTGCAGAGATTCCCTTGATAATACTAATAACAGCAGCTAATACTTATTGCTCTCTTACTGTGTGCCAGGCATTATGTAAGTGCTTTTGAGTTATCTTGAGAATAGCAGATAAGGAAATTGTAGCTTAGAGAGGTTAAGTGACTTTTCCAAGGTCGTATCAAGTAAGTGGCAATTTGCCACTCCAAAGACCTTGATCTTAACCACTGAGCTCTATTTTATGCCTAAATAGCCCTGAATACAAGCATATTTGTGGCAGTAAGTGAATTACAGGAAAATCATGTTGCTATGTGAGGACTTCAAAATTAATTTAAAAGTCAAACATTATTTTGCTTCTATTTCATTAGCAGGTCCTAACTTTTAACCTTTATTTCAAACTGTGAAACATGACAACTCATTTGAAATTTAATGACTACCTAAACAACTCCACTAAAGTTGGAACTAAAGTTCCACTCTCGCACTTTTAAATTTCCACTGCTCGCTTTTGGGGACGGGGGAGAGGCACATGGGGGAAAGCCATTTGGATTCCTTTTTCCATTATAAATGTGGTATGCTATGAATCAGCATTCTTTATCCCTTGAAATATTAGACATTTTTGTTTACAGGTGGCATTTATAGCTTGGTAGATGAATCATTTTTCTTAGAACAGGTTGTATGAAATGTAGTAACTATAGAATTACTTAGAACCCTTATCTTGAAAGGTATAACAATTTATATCTCTGGCAAAATATTTTTAATTATTTAAGAAATGAGGTGGTATGACTTTGAGGTAGAGCAGAGTTGGTTCAAACAGGACTTCAGCTTTCTCTGTTTAGTTTATTTTCGGGGCTGAGGAGGACATATTATATAAAAGTATTTTGAGTCTTACATGTATAATATTGTGGACAAAATGTTCTTGAAGACAGTGTTGTTGAATACATCTTAAAATTTTGATTTGAGAACAAGATTAATTGTATTTCCTCACACTTGCCAAAAGGTTTGTGTCTATAAGTATAAACATAAATTTCAGATTTGAGTATATGGAAAAGGAATTCTGTTTGAATTAAAAAGACAGACTTTATTTAACAGACAAATTGTGCTTTTTAATCTATAGCTACGTCAGTATTTCCATTCCAGTCTCACATTTTAAGCGTTTTTAAAGTTAGCCAGTAAAATATTCTTAGAATTGATAGTCAAAACAGGAGCAAACATTAGATAAATCTGTTTGACAATATAGCCTTGAAATGTAATTTTCCCTTCACTATGGAAAACTCAACTCAGTGTGGAGTCATATGTACTTTCTATTTATTTCTAAGTCTGTTTTCTGTATGCCAGAAGATTTGGGGTGGGAGAACAGGGTGGGGGATGGGTGGGTGAAGAATTGTTTACACACACTAGTTCAAGCCAAACTCTTTGATGCTAATATATGGAGAGAGAAGTTGTCCAAAGTATAATAAAGTGTAATACACTTCTTGTAATACTAATATACTTTGTTGTGTACTAAATACTAAAAATTGTATTAAGCATATCAAGACATAACAGAAATTATGTCCATGTTGGCTATGACATGGTTAAAAGTACATTTCAAGTGAATATTTGTTGGGTTTTGAATTCCCTCTTCATTCATAGATGTGAGATGAGTGATTGGCTGCCTGATTTAACTAAGATGTATACATTCCCATGAAGACAGGGCGGCTTGATTTGAGTCACAGATCTGAGGCTTTGAGTATTATCCACTGAAAATCGGTATTAATACAAACAAACATTGAGAACATTTAAGTATATGTGTCTTGCTTTAGGCAAGATCTGTGGACATTTAATTGTATTGCTACTTTGTGATGTTTCCTTGAAATTTCAGCATGGTAGGCACTGTGATCTGGAAAATAACAGATATTTTGACAGTTGGCAAAGTGCCCTCGGTCATTTTAACTATGGGTGCTGGAATTCTAACCCTAGCCTCCCTGGGTAGGCTCCCCTGCTCTTGGTGAGCGGGGCTGACCGCTGAACTCAGGCTTTTACTGGTAGGTTGAAATTGCCTTGCAGTGGGTGTCATTGACACCGAGCCATCAGTTGGAAACTGGATGACAGGCCATTTTTTAAAGCATTTTTACTATTCTACTTTCCTCCTTTTTTATGTACACACTAGTGTAAATAGATTGGCTTAGTTTCCCCCATAAAACTAAATTCATTCAGCACTCTTAACTCTCCTTTCTCGCTCCCCTCCTTCCTTTTACCTTTGGGTCATGACTCACTCTTTCTGATTCTCCTTCCTTTTGGAAATATTTATTAATTATTTATATTGTTTTAGACTATGCTAAGTGCTGTGGGAACTAGCACTTTTAATACCCCAAATTATTAAACTGGAAAAGGAATATCACTACAAGCTTAACTCCACATTTCCTTGCTCAGTGTTTTCACATTGAATTTTGGCTTTCTGATTTTTCTTTTAAAGAAAAAAAAACCTGAGCATTGATTTATGAATTATATGTCTTTTATTACTAAAAGTCTTAATCTATCCATGGTAGTAAAGGTTAAGGCACCAGCAATGACAACCAAAAGCATTCTATCATAAGTAAATGTTTTGTTTGTATGGAGTTCACAAGGCTTTCAAAGTGCGCTCTGGGGAAGGTATACACTTCCTGAGTGTGTTGTGCTTAGTCAGGTTGAGGTAATCACAAGAGTCTAGGCGATCTGTTTAGAACCATGTCCTTGCTATTTCTATAGGTATAGACAAGCAGAATGTTGTTGGTAAGCGTAGAGCGTTGCTGAAAAACATACCAGAAATATGGGGAACCTGATTTTCCTGATTGACTTAAATTTTAGCAAGAAAGGTAATTTAGCAAAATTTAGAATTGCAGACAGCAATTTAAAAACATATTTTTAAATAAAATTCATAAGGCTGTTTCTTAGATTATAAGAAAGTTGAGTTTCAGTTTAGAGCCGTTTTACTGTGCGAATGCTTTATTTTTAAGATTTTTTATTTATTCATTCGAGAGAGGGAGTGAGAGAGGAAGAGAGTGAGGGAGCAGAGAGCCTGAGCGGGACTTCACACCAGGACTCCGGGACCATGACCTGAGCCCGAGGCAGATGCTTAACCCACTGAGCCAGCCAGGCGCCCGAGAATACTTTTAATTGGAAGTTCCTAAGTGTGACTTCTGTTGGTGTAGCTGGTGTTTTTTGGGAAATCATTAAAATTAAAAGTATTACCAGTCTATATTGTATAAATCTTTTGAGTTAACATGTCTTAGGGGAGGTAGGGCCAGAGTGGGAATCTTCTGAGAAAGTTAG